GTGGTTGTAAGGAGGAAAAGATTCTCTAAAAATATAAAGTTTTTTTTAAAGAACAAAAGGTAATATATTAATTTGGTTTTGGATGTACTGGAAACAAAGATTAAAAACAAAAATGCATGCAGACGTATAGTGAATGTAAACTTAATTTAATTAGAATTTTTTCCCTTTTACTTCCTGTCTTTAACCTCTTTTCTACTACATTTTAATCTTTCTTTGCATTTAGCATAAGACTGTTTACCCTGAAACAGAATAGCAAGATGAGTATGTATGATCCTGTTATTTATTAGATCACAGCTGAGTATATACTCTGCAAAATCCTTTTAAGCTTCACTACCATTTCATTCTTTATACAATTTCATGCCCTAAATAGTGTTTCATGCAATTATCAGAGATCTTGGAAACATACAGTTTGGTCAGCATGGCAATGATATTTCAAACAGATATTTAAGTAGGTAATAAGTGAGTATTTAGAAAAGAATACACTGCTAAGTACAGATTTATATAGGAGTCATGGTTCCAACAACTATGAAATCTGATATTACTGTTACTTATTAATCATAAAATTTCAGGCAGCCCATACTCTTTGGCAAGCAGATTTATTACGTGTGTAAAAATTGCCACTTATTAATAAGAAACTGATCAAATTAATGTATATGACTATATGGTTGTAGCAGGTGCTTAGATAGGGACTTTTTTTTGGGGGGGGGGCTACATATGTTGATGTCACATTTTGTTGCTGCTGTACCTTTGACTCCTGGCAACTGCTGGATTAGTCCCCGCAGTTTTCTTGGCAAGATTTTGGAAATAGTTTGCCACTGCCTACTTTCTAAGATTAAGTCAGAGTGACTGGCCCAAAGGTCAGCCCTTCCGGGTAAAGCAGACAGGAAATGTGACTAGATGAGCTAATTCTACTTTATTGTAAGGCTACCTTAACAGAATCTTGCAAGTCTGTAAGTACAAGCCTCTTGCCACCATTTTTAACCATCTGAACAATTAGGGCAAATCCTTCCTAAATTTCTTCTTCTGACCATTAATCCAGTGGGGGCTCCTCCCTCACTTGTTTGATTATTTCTTAGGCAGCATCATTTCCCTGCCTCCCCCAGGGTCATCCACACAGTCCCCCAAGGTCATCCAATTAGCTTTGTGCCAAGACAGGACTAGTCACAGTTTTTTTTTTTTTAACCTGATGCCTTAATGGCAAACAGGCTCACTTGATGCCACATTATAAAAAATCTTATCATATTTTAGATACATATATTATTTTAATCCCTGACTTATCTTACATTCCAATATTTTGATTTGCTGTCTGGAATCAAAAAATACTTTTCAGCTTGCTCCAACATCTACACACAAGCAGCGCATATATAATCATATGTAAAGCTTCGTTTTCAGAATTATCTTTACTACATTTTTTTTAAACTAAACTATAAATTAAGCCTTTTGATTGTTGTAAAGAAGACACTGAATTCATTTCCTTACCAATTTATATTGCCATTTAAATCAAATGTATCATCTGTGATCAGGGTCTACCACATAATAAAACAATAGTATAAAACAAAAATGCACAAATTGTAAAATTAACTTAGTTGATCATTCAGTTAGCTGCCCATTTTGCATAAAGTAACAGGAAATTGAGACAGATTTAGAGTAACAGAGTTAGGAATATCTGAAAGTAAAAATACTAAGTAAGATTGGTTAGAACGACTAGAAAATCAGCTAAAATGTGGGCTCAACAACTGGCATTTAAGAGAGAGAAATAAAATGAGAAACAGAGAGACTACAACAGACCTTCTGTGTTACCTATTTGCCTTTCTAGATCTGCTGCTTCATCTGGTGTTGCACGAGGCAGGACTCCAGGATCACTGAAACTAGTACGTAGCAAGGTCCCCATAACAAAAAAGAACAGAATTGCTCCCACTACGGGAATTGCAGGTGTAATCTCCTCAGATAAATATGGACAACTGTAAAATAAGGAAAATAAAATATTAAGAATAAGGTTACATAAAAAATAGCAAGTACCCACAACTGATCTTGCAGGTGATGGAGTAAAGAATTACTTCAAGGCCATCTATATTAATAATCATTTCAGCAAAAAACTCTGAAAATCTAAGTCTGATCTCACTTTGTTCTCACTTGTATTGTACCTAAACAATTTTTAAAAAAAATTCTTATGCCATTCTAACGTCTCATATTGATTGAGAACTGCATTCAGGTTAACATGCAATTTTCTGATTCAGCTATTTGCATTAATATAGAGTAAGAGAAATGCAGAAAAGATCAGTTGATGATTATACCCCAGAATAAGGAATACAGGTTGCACCTACGTCTCTGCACTTACGTCACTTTTATTTTAATACTGTAAGTAGATTATAAAAGTATGACTAAAATATAACATAGAAGATGTTTATTATCCAGCCTTTTGGCTTTAAAGATTACATTGGGCACAAAAGGTGTTCAGAGCATAAGAAACATTTTTCTATTTAAGAATTAATCTATATGTTAAAAAAATATTATTAAAATTGATAGTCTAAATAATTTCATTAATATCTTAACTGATATTTTAAAAAATATTTTAAAAACTAACATCATAGTCAGTATTTTACACAGCATCAAAAGAATTGCAGTAAAGGGTGCAACTACTATTATATTTACACTACATATATTTATACATTAGACCAGGGGTAGGCAACTTCGGCTCTTTTATGACTCCTGGACTTCAACTCCCAGAATTCCTGAGTCAGCTATGCTGACTCAGGAATTCTGGGAGTTGAAGTCCAGGAGTCATAAAAGAGCTGAGGTTGCCTACCCCTGCATTAGACGGAGAGTGAGTTTGGTTCAGCTAGCGGTTAAGACATCAGGCTAGAAACCAGGAAACTATGAGTTCTAGCCCCACCTTAGGCATAAAAATTGGCTGGGGAACTTTGGGCCAGTCAGTCTCCCTCAGCCCATGATGTTAGGCTTGGGTGACGAGCTAGTCAGCCAATTCCTATCATAATCAAGGGATCAACACTCAGTTGATCTGGAAAAAAGCAGACCTTGAACTTGCGGGAAAACATTACTTATGTTTAATGTAAGAGAAAATATTATACATTAAACAATGTGAAAATTCCAATTCCATTTCTAGAATGTCTTAATTTTTGTAACTAGATTTTTTTTCAAAAAGTTAAATTAACAATATAGTATAAACTTGATAGAATACTCTTTTACTTGTTAAACATCATATTGTATTATCATGACTTGCCACTGTTTCTGATGAAAATGTCTAAAGTGATAGAACAATTACACTAATATCTTGATACATACGTAACAATATGCTAGAGTTGTTTAATGCATACTATGTAAGTTGTGTCACTTGTTCCATGCTACAGGAATTATTAAATACTCCAGGAAATCTTATTTGTGGCTTACTTTGTGTTACACTGCAAAAAAAGTTGAGAACAATTCTTCCCTCTAAACCAGGGGTCCCCAACCCCCGGTCCGTGGACTGGTAACAGCCCGCGGCACGTCAGCAACTAGTCCGCACAAACAAGCAAAGCCTCATCTATGTGATGCAGACAGCACACAAAACCACACACTTTCGGTCCGTGGAAAAACCTTTCTCTGCGGAACCCGTCCCTGGTTCCCAAAAGGTTGGGGACCTCTGCTCTAAACTAAGGAGAACAAAAAATCCTAATGCGCATGTAACTCTAAAGAAGTAGCAAACAGGTCTTCTGGTATGCTTGACTGTTCCTGCCAGCAGGAAAAATTAAGCAAGTACAATCAAATGACATTTCTCAGCAAGCTTGCTCAATCAAGATATCCTAGAATCCTGACTTTATGTGTAAACTGGTCAGTTATGAATCACAAATATCACTGAAACTTATAGTTTTCTGAACCAATTTATCACTTACACATTTACACCCACAGACGTTATGCCACTATGTCTTTTAAAATAACATATGATTTAGAATATTTATTTGAACTGTTTTATCTCAATCTGCTCATATTTAAAGTAACCCATAATTACACTAACCCAAGTATTTCAAATACAAACACCAACTAAAATTTGTTAATACCTAAGAAAGGTAAAATATAATAAGACAATAAATCACAAAGCAAAATGCTCCCAAATGTAAGACTATACTACACTTGGTGGGGGGGAGAAGAGACAAGAAAAGGACAACAGAATATTTTTGCTAAATCTGGTCATCCTCTAAAAGGTTTATATAGAATAGAGCTTGAAGGGACCTTGGAGGTCTTCTAGTCCAGGCCCCTGCTCAAGCAGGAGAACCTATATCATCTCAGACAACTGATTGTCTAGCCTCTTCTTAAAAATCTCCAGTGATGGAGCACCCACGATTTTTCAAGGCAAGCTGTTCCACTGGTTAATTGTCCTCACTGTCAGGAAGTTTCTCTTTAATTCCAGATTGTTTCTCTCTTTGATCAGTTTCCTATCATTGTTTCTTGTCCTGCCCTCTGGTGCTTTGGTGAACAATGTGTCCCTCTCTTCTTTGTGGCAACCCCTCAAATACTAGAATACTGCTATCATGTCTCCCCTATTTCTTCTTTTCTTTAGACTAGCAGCCAAACCCAAGTCCTGCAGCCGTTCTTCGTATGTTTTAATCTCCAGGCCTTTGATCATCTTAGTTGCTCTTCTCTGAATTTTTTCCAGACTCTCAACATCTTTTTTGTGATATGGTGACCAAAATTGGCTGCAATATTCCAGGTGTGGTCTTACTAGGGTTTTATAAAGCAGTACTAATACTTCGCGTGTTCTTGATTCTATGCCTCTGTTTATACAACCCAGAATTGTATTAGCTTTTTTTGGCGGCGGCTGCTGTTTATGGCAAAATGCAGGGTTTTTTTCCTGGATATCAAGTATTTGAAATCTCAGCACATTGCTTAATGTGCAAGTCAGTGATTTTGTATAACAGGAAATGGATAACATGTGCAGAAGATTTATAAATATTTCTGTTTAGATAAACAAGGTCAAGTCCAAAATGAATGAATCACAACAACCATACGTGCCAGATGTTTCTAAATGTTAATTTTGGCTATGGTATCCACATTAGTTATGCCTAATTCAGGGAAAGGCAAACAAACTGGATGTGAAATAAGAAGTATAGAATAGGAATTCCCTCCTTCATTTCCTTTCCTTATTTATCCTTTCTTGTATACAGTGTGTCTGTGTAAACACAATACTATACAGCAACAATTTTGAACAAAAATACATAATGTGTTACAAATGCATTTAATATTGAGTCACTTGCTGGCACTAAGATTGTTTCAAAAGTATTTTCCTTCAATGTTTTCTTATTTCTCTAATTAATTTTGTCGATTTCTGGGATATATATTAAGATCTGAAGGCAAGCATTAACATTGAGATGCTGGCAAGTCTAACTTTCACAACCTATATTCTTATCAACAGAAAAGGACTATTTTCCAGGAAGGCTGTATATACTGATTTAAAAAAAAATCAAATTTAGGCAAATCATATAGCTTTAATAAATGATAATGTCTTTAAAAAGATCATGCTTCAAGTTTAAATCAGCATAATGCCATATGTACTTATGCATTATTTTAAAGTAAGTAACTTGATTCAACCAGGTTCACAATTAATATATCCAACTGATTCAGTTTTCAGATAATTAGCAAATGGATATGGTTCTTTTGGTTAAACTTTTCTACAAGCCACATAGGAAATAATACAGAATATTTTAAGATGCAACAGTGATACTTAAAGGAGAGTTGCATCATATTCATATTTTTTTGTGAAATTTTACAAAATTTTAGAGGAATTTTCTCTGGGGACTGAACCCCATTTCACCTCAAAACATTTAAAAATTCAGAATAATTAAGATATTTTGAGTAGTTAAACTATCATATTAATATACTAGCTGTACCCGGCCACGCGTTGCTGTGGCTCAGTCTGGTTAAATGGAAAAGAAGTGTGTTGCTTTTACGTCCAACAGATGGCACTGTTTTTCAAAAAAAGCATGTTTTTACCTGTCACAAGTGTGACATCTATATAATAGTAGGTATATAAAAACATGCGCGGATTCGAATGCAACATTGTGTCAAAATTTCAAAGCAATCGGTGAAGAACTTTCGGAGATTTAAGATTTTGAACAAACGAACATTTACATTTTTATTTATATAGAAGATGATACTATCTTCCTTGCATAATGATGTTTAAATAAAATAGGCATTTTGCATTTTTCATAAACTTATAGGGCAAAACACCATTTATGTAACAAAATATTTTAATGAAATGTGGTGATGAAGATACCTTCAAAGAGGTAAGATTATTCAGGAAGGGAGATCTAATAAAAAGGACTAACTGTTTAACAGCTAGCTGCTAAAGCAATAACTATAGGAATTTTGAGATACAGGGGGACGGATCCACAATTGCAGTTCTTAAGGGAGTGAATGACTGGGTAGAAATAAAATATTAAGAGCTTACTTATCTAATATCCTTCAAGGTATTCTTAACATTTACCAACTGCAAATAACAATGAAATCCACATTATGTGAGAGCATTTCTGGTCTTGCACAATACTTTGTTCTGCGTTTCTTGAGCCTCAATACATTCTAAGTAAATGCCCAATTTTATGAAACAAACTTTGAAAGCAGGCTTCCAGAGAAGGTATGATGAATTGAAGACTGCTCTAAAAAACAGAGCCAACGACCACAGCAAACACCAAAGAACTGGTGAGTAGACTAGTTCCTTTTAACCTCTGGATAAGGAATGGATGGAGATTACCCACATGTGCTCCATACAACTGCTCTTCATGAGGAGACTGCGGGACAGTGGTTTTCCACTAGTTTGAGCACCAGAAGATGGGATCAGCCATCCTGCTCACACAACCACAACACTTTTAAAGGGCACTAAGTTCACAAATCTCACGTTCTAATTTGCACGTTCGGAAATTGCACCTTAACTACTTCTAAGCTATTAGAGACCTTTGGAATGACTAGTTTGAAAATGTCAGATAAGTCT